TTCTTCAATCAAACAGACGACTCCTTTCTGGAGCCAGCTGGCTATGTAATGCAATTAGTAGGAAAAGGAGGTCAGACTATTAGGTGTGTACCATGACCAGTGTCAGCAGTGGCGTGTTGCCTGGCAGGCAGCATGCAGAATAGCTAAAGCAGAGTGCCTTTAGAACTATTTACTCAAGTGAATGAGTAGACGTGGCGCACGACCAGTTTCAGAACATGGAATTGTTTTTGTAAAGCTTGAGAAATGAGCATTTGTTCTACAACTGACAACTAAGTTCTGAAGCACAGATTGCAGCTGAGGAAATGCTGTGAACACATGCTTAGTGATGTCAAAATTCGAATCAGAATGTCCATGTTGACTTACGTTACATGGGTATTCACAGTTCAGTCTAAAGGAGACATTAAGAAACCACTGCACGAGAAGAAATATGTGGTTCAAAAAGTGTATGCATCTTATTCATGTTATTTAAAGTCCTATGTGTGTCAACTACAGATTAATGCAAATCTGTGAAGGCTCCCTCAGACTTTGGAGGGGACATTACAAACAACTTCATAGGCACGCCTTCCTGAATATTTTTTCCAGGTCCAGTTCTGGTTTTGTTCAGATCAGAGCTAAATGTAAAAGGACAGGCCAGCTATTTGTCCATTTATTATTTTCCGGTTGTCTTGGGTTTGGGGGGGTTTTTTGTTTTTTTCATATTGTATGTATTGAAGGTGGAAGGACTTGCCGCTTTTCAGCCTGGATTGATCTTATGCTTATTTACTTGGGAATATAGCCATAACTACTCATTTTGTTGTTTATTTGGTGCTCAAAGGCTTCAGAGATCTTGCACACAAATCTAAAATCTTACTTGTATTTGAATCATTGAAGTAAAACACCTGAGGTTGGTGTGTTATAGTACCATATTTACCGGAATCCAAGATGAACTGGAATTTAAGATGACTTACCCAATAATTAGATTCTGTACATGGAAAATTTATGAATTTGTTATAATTTTCCATGTATAGAATCTAATTATCGGAGGGTCATTTTAAATTCATTCTCCTAATCCTCCCACTACTGAGGGCAGGACAAGCAGTGGCAGGGGGGCCAGTTGCAGTGGGGGGGGGGGGGGGAAATCAGGTGTCCTGATCCGCCACTTGCCCACCCCCCCAACACTTGCCCCTGCTGCTGTTGCCAGCCCCTGGTGTCTGCCCTCCTCTCCACGTGCCCCTTCCTCAGCACCTCCCCTACTTACTACTGCTTACCCTCAGTTGCAGCTCCAAACCAGCTCCAGCCTGGAGCAATGGAGCCCATGGTAGTTTTGGCCCCCACCTAACCATGCAACAGTGGTGGCAGTTCCAGCCCAGGAACCAGGTCAGAGCAGGGACCCGAGTTGCTACTACTGCCATTGCTGTTGCATAGCCAGGCAGGGGCCAGAGCTACCATGTGCTTTCTATACCCTGGGCTGGAGTTGCCAATGAGGGTGAGTGACTGTGGGGATAGGAGGCTGCTAGCAGGGCAGAGGCTGTGGGGAGGCAGAACAGCAGCTCCAACTCTGACCCCAGGTCTGGGTCAGGGCCAGACCCAAAGCTGCAACAGCCTCCTGTCCCCCCAAACTGTGTACTTAAATCCAAGATGAGAGGCTTTTCCCCCCATATTGAAGGTGGGGGGGCAGCCTTGTCTTGGATTCAGGTAAATATAGTAATTGATGATATGATGATTTTTTAGCAAACTTGTAAAACCAATCTTTTAAAAAACAATTTTATTTGATCAGTCCACTGTTAGAAAGAGATCATTGGCATTTTATGAATTCAGCAATTATAGGTGTTTGAGCTAAAAATGGTATGATAAATGGTGTTTCATGCTATAGAAACAGATATTACCCAAATGTGTATTTCTGGTATAGTCTGTTCATCTTTGATTTTTTTTTTTTTTTTTTTTAGATCCCGTAAGCAAAGCAGCATTTAACTTTGTCAGCAACTTAGAAAGATGATGTTCAAGGAAACCCTAGATGCCACAAGAAATGAGTTTCTTAATGCAGTAGATTTCACTCTTTTCTCTAAGACAGGAGTGTCAAACTCATCTGGGCCAAGGCAGGATGAGGTTCTCTGGGCCAGTCTGTGGTAAGACCCAATGTGTAGCGCCCACAGCACTGGGTCCAGCATGTACCAGCTGGGGTTCACTGTACACACAGCATGTGGGGCTGCCATGAGGCATGTGCTGCCTGCGGCACACGGGCTAGACCCGGTCGTTCTGGAATGCCATACTCACCCCACGCCTCAGATTCTTTGCAACATGCAGCACCAAGTCCAACTCGCACAGCACCCTGTGTCAGCCCTGCATACCACTTACACAGTTAGCCCTGGGGCTGGCATTTGCTGTACATGGACATGCTATAGTGGCCACATGTCCTACATGCAGCATAGCGAGCTGGCACAGAGCACATGCTTCATGGCTGCCTGGCTGCAGTGTTGCAGGCAAAGCTCCCAACCGAATATTGCCAAAGCCCTCCACACTAGAACACTACTGAAACCCCCTTGAATCTGAGGGCTAGATTCAGTCTGAACAATAGGCTGCAGACCCCTGAACTAGTCCTGCCTTGTGCAGGGGGACTGGACCCAAGGATCTACAAGGTCCCTTCCAGCCCCTAAAAATCTATGAACCTATGACTTATTCCACTGTGGCGTTTGCTAGAAGATAGGATGCTGGTCCTTCTTTCCTGGCTGACAACTAGCATAATTCCTTGTGTTTGACCTGTCTTCTGCCTCTAGTTTTGAACATTTTTCCCTTGTGCTGAAATTCTGCTACAAAATATAGTGTTGCCAGTGCTGGATGGCTGCCATGATAATTGTGGTCTAGATAGATGGTTATATGAAGAATTTGGTATGAATAAAAAGCACTATTCTTTTTAAAGGATTTGGCCCTTTCTTTTGATCAGTTTTCTATATGTCTGTATGCACTATCCATTTTTCCAAAGGTATATGAGGCAGATTGGTACTGGACACATTTCTTCACAACTTTTTTGTATTGTAAATGACATCAGTGTGCTGTGTTCTCCTGTGCATTTTCCTATGTGGCTAGAAAACAGAGAGAGAAGGCATTCTACAAAATAATGCTATATGCTGAAATTTGCTAAATTAATGAAGTCATTACAGTTCAGTGAGGTAGTGTTGGAAGTCTGTCTTAACATTAGGGCTCTGCGAGTTGGGCTATACATGCTGTCTTTTGTACTGAGTTGCAGTGACAAAAATAGTCCCATTGAACACCTGTCATAAACCACTGTCACTGCTACTCAGTGTGTGTACAGGTGGCATAATTGAGCCTTTACTGTTACTCGCTTTGTATACTAATACATTAATGCATCAGTTTGGGTGTTCTGTTAATTGCCCTACCAACTATGTTCCTTTTAGAGTCCTCATAGATTATTAGAGACTATTTCTAATATGTATAACATATTGTATATAGTATTGTGGCCAGGCAGGATGTATAACATATTGTATATAGTATTGTGGCCATGCAGTATGGGGTATTTTTTAAAACTTGCTTTACAACTTGTCTGTAGACACTTTTGTGATTTTCTAGTCAAATCTGTTTACTCTCTCGCAATGAACTGTTAAACTCAGTGTGAGTTTTGCTGTTGACTGCAGTGGAACCAGTATTTTATCTTCTTTTTTTCTGAAGTTCACCCTCTTAACATGGCTAAATAGTTCTCACAGTGCACATTTTTTTTAAGATCATTATAAAGTGTCACAGGATAGTGAGAAATTTAACATGCTGTGCTGGGAAAACCCAAAATTACTATTTATAGTGTTTACATTTTCATATTGAAAAATCAGTCTGTTGATAATTGGTATCATAAATAGGGTTGAAATGCATTCTTTACTTGTATGTATAAATTAGATAGATAAATTCAGTAACTCTTCTCTGTTTCCCTTTTATTCAAATAAAATCAAATTAGCTGTGAATTTGATTTACCTTGTGAATACGTTTCATGTTACTTTGCACAAGTATAAACCTTCAGTGAAGATGCAGTTTTTAGCCTTCTTGTCTTCAGAAATATGGCAAGACATGGTAATATTTTCTAAAATTGTTGTAGGAATCCTTTCCTGATTCAAAGCATTTTCTGGTCTGTCAGGGTGAAATTCATTTCTCCACAGAAGGCCAGCACATACGCTTACGTGTATCACATTAGTTACTTGGTTTACCTTTTTTTTAGGGTTTAAGTGGGACTAAAGTATTGCATAAACCTTGTGCTGCCTCCCCACCATAGAGGGTAAATGTTGCCTGTAAAATAGACGTCTATTTAAAATGTAAAAGACATACAATCTGTTGTGCATTTCAGTACATCATTTTCAAATATGTTTGCCTTCAGTCACAAACTTATTTTTCCAAACAAAACAAAATCAGCTATACTTAATAAGGACTATTTCTGTGCTAAGTTTCAACATATAAGTTCAGCTTTACTTTATGTAACTCTGTTCAAAAAAAGGTCTTTATGGTTTTTCCCACTTTGTCCTAACTCAGCCACTGTTCAAACACATTACACACACACTTTCAAAACAGAATTTACCTTCATGCAGAGATATGGCATGAAGTACTTCAGCTGTATAGCAAAATAGGGAACAGAGGACTATAATGGAAAGTATCTGCAACCTGAATCGTAGTAATAGCTACTGCTGTGACAGCTATAATATTTTAAATTAAATACAATGCCCTGCTAGTTAACATTTTGCTCATGTAATTCAGTTCAGCATTTAAAACTACTGTATATAATATGCATCCACGTGTCACGTAAGTTGATAATTTGATAATTATGTAATTAAACCATCAATTTTTTTTGAACAAGGCAAGTTTTGTGGCTGCTGTTACTAACAACAGATAGATAAAAAACAATATTTTAACCTTTTCTATAATGAAATATTTCTACTGTTGAACATTGTAATTCAATTTGTAAGCCATGACCCCTCATAAACTGTTGTTATCACTCTGATTAATAAAGAGCCAATTTGCCGTTGCAGCTTCGTCACTTGGGAAATGATGAGGTTCACATCGTCTGGTCTGAACACACCAGGAACTACCGCAGGGGTATTATACCAACAGATTTTGGAGATGTTTTAATTATTATTTATCCGATGAAGAACCACATGTTTTTCATAGAGATAATGAAGAAACCAGAGGTAGGTTTTGACTACTTCAGTGAGTCTGTTGTGCACATTGCTCAAATGGCAAATAATCCTGGTATAACACTGAGAAAAGTCAACATTATCAAATATTTTTGTCAGAACATATTACATTTTTCTCCCCGTGTGAGCTTAAATGGTGCGTTGAACTCTGAGGGAGGGTTGTTTTGTGGGGTTTTTGTTTGGGTTTTTTTGTTTTTGTTTTCTTTTAACAATTGAACATTAGTAAAAAAACTAAATGAGTAGATCTGAAATGAAAAGCATATTCATTTTTAGCATTTTGGGTGGCCTGCCTGAATTTTAAATCCATTGGAGATGGCTTATACAGAATGATGCTTAAAATGATGGACGGGATCCAATTTAAGCCAATGAAAGGAAAAGAATACAGAATTAAGGCTTTCCTTGGTATTAATTCACACATAATAGTTAGCTACTAGTTAAATCTCTGATGGTGCTATGGATACACATGGTGCTATATGTAACCTCACACAGATTTTTGAGACCCTGGCAATAAACTAACTCAGTATAATTTAGGGATTGCATGGCAGTCTTAACACTCATCCTTGGCTTTATGTCATTATATCAAATCATTTTTCTTGGTGTTAATATTTATTTATACTTATTTTTTTTCTTGTCAACTTTTTCTCAGATTTCTAAGAGATGAGCTTAATGCAAAAGCAATCATTGTCTAATGCATTGTATACAAAAAGGATGTCTTATTTTAAATGCAGAGATAAATGTATGTAAATGTGTAGTCCAGTACACAAGTGCATTCAGCGTGTTAACTTCTAAAGATAGAATATATTTTATTGAAATAACCATAGTCCTCACTACTATTGATATTATCTATTTACATAAAAGATAACAACGTGTCTTAGTGTGTAGACAACAGCAAAAAGGACACGTAAATCTCAGGACACGTACTAGTTGTTTAAGATACATCTTTCAGAAGTATGAAAATGGCAACATCTGTACATTTTAAGAACTAGAAATTTGTCACCCTACATTTAAAAATCTTGAAAATTTGCCACCTATTTTTCATATGTGAAAACCTTTTATTGATATATACACTTAATTTACATATATAAAGACTCTTATAATTCACTTCTCTGGAACTTAAAAGTAGAGAAAATAACATCCTAAAATGCTGAAGTAATACACAAATAAATAGCTGTTAATGTAGCTTAACCTGAAATAACTGAATAAAACATTTAGAATTTAGCGTTATGAAATTATGTGAATCAATCCCAGAAAAGCTGTCTTTTTATATATTAGTCAAAAAACACCCAAAGGGCAGAAGGAATAATAGACAACTGGAAATTTAGTGTTATCCCTACATTTAAAGTACAAACCATTACAATGTAATAAAATTAATCCAGACATTTCCAGGGCAAGTGTGGCTGACCTTTTGTTCACCAGCTACTGACCCGAGGGTGAATGAAAGAGGCTTGCAGAGAGAAATGTCTGTTGTTTGGCTTCAGTCCCTGGTATTTAAATTGCATTCCCTAATCAAATGAAAAGGCTGTCCTCTCTATCAGGTTACCGAATCCATGGCAACATTTGGCCTTTTATATACATAATGTTAGCCTTTTTGTTTGCATCTAAGTAGAGACACCTGGAGCAATGTTAACATTAACCGATTTAGCATTAATAGCTTCATTATATAAGAATTTCTGATCAGATAGCTGTTACTTTTGTTATATTGCTTCAGCTTGTATTGTTTTCATTTTTTTATCTCCCTGCTTGGCAACCAGGCAATGATTTGCAAATTTTTTTTGTCTTGATTAATTAAGCAATATAATTATCAGGAACCGTGATGCAGTCTTTGCTCAACAAAGCTTCTGAGAGAAAACAATAGTAAGTCTGTTAGTATGAATGCATTCCACGCGTCACAGATGCATGAGGATATTCTAAACAATGAGACGAAAAGCTGCCTGCAAAAGAGGACAAAGAATGCCATGCAGACTCTACACAGTACACATACCGCCAGGGACATACTGTGGGTTCCCTGGGACACAGATGCCTCGTTAGATTGCAGCTAGTCATCAGAGATTAATTCTCAGCCATTTGGTACAACAATTTACCCATTCCCCAGTCTTTTAACTAGTGCTGCTTACTATAGAAGTGAAGTCTTTGTACTCAAAAGGTTTATGTAACCTTGCCTACTTTTAGTGTTTAGAACAAAAATAATTATTTTTTCTTAGTAATTGTACTGAAGGAAGCATTTGCAACATGTTGAATATATTTTTTCACAGCCCGTTAACTTTATAATTTGTATTGGTCATGAAAGGGTGTACATTTCTGTCCACATCTGAATGTGTTTTATTTTCCTACAGTTTATTTAAGCTTAGCACATTTATTTTGCATCCCTGTGAAATCAAGTATTCTCCAAAAGGCAACCAGAATATCAACTTTAAAAGTACCAAAGATAGAATATGCATTCAACCTCATTAGGTCAAAAAGACTTTATGATGTTGTATCCCCTTGAGTTTAATGGCCCACAGCAAGACTGTTGAAATGGAAATTAATAATTCTAACCTTTTTTGATTTTATGGTCTATTCACCTATTCCTTCCCAGTCAACAGTCCCATTGAATCAACTGAAAGTTTGGGGTATGTAATCGGTCTCTGATTGGATCTTCAGATTCTGATTCTGAAAGGGTACTGGAAGCCCTGAACACCTGCTGAATTCAGCTTGAATTAAGCATTCTCAGCATTTGAGAGGGCTGAACCTTTAAAAATAAGAGCTTCTTGAATTATTGATTTACGTTTTGGGAAATGACAGGTATACATTTCATAATCTGTAAACAAGTTTGTTTACATATATATTTTGGTAATTTTTCATTAATTGAACATTTGCTTCTGTATGTGGAAATATCTCTGAGAGCTTGAAAACATTTCTGGTAAATTTTTCAAAATGTAAAACACATTTTTAAATTTCTAATATTAATTCACAATATGTTTTACCAAAAAAAAGTCTTACAGCACATTTCCAAGATTCTGATAATTTTCTTGAATGTGATCAACCTTTTAAGTAAAGGTGATCAAAAGAATATTTGAAAATTATTTTTACTAATAGATTTAAATACTAAAGTGAGATTTATATTATCATCATTTTGGATATATATGTGAATATTAAAATTTAAAGCTTCTAACACGCACAATCTATTGCATAATGCCACATCACCTTCTCTGCATTTATTCTGTATATAACTCACCAGATACCAAAGTGAAAATGTGTGTCAATGGTGGTGTTAGTGAATACTCAGTCATACCTGGCATACAAAATTGTTTTGGATGTTTGCATCCTCTTTCACTATTTTAAAAATATATTCTTCTTGTCATAGAATTTTAACTTTCTTATAAATGCTTAAGTTTATGTAATTCTTAATTGAAAAATGAACCCACAAAACTTGATGATCCAGAACTTCCATGGCACAGATAAATTTCCAGGAGGGAAAAATTAATGACTTTTGCATTAAAAAAACAGACCAAAGCTTTAAATGTTATGTTGAATTCATTGAAAAGAATCCAGGATTAGTCAAATAAATGATGGAAATGTTTTACACTAATCTATTTTTCTTTTTCTTTTTTTTTTTGATAACTATTTTGAGTAAAGGAATGACATAAGTATTCTGTGAAAAGACAGCTGTCATTTGCAGATGTTATATTAAAACCAAATTTCTTCTGTAATTCATTGCCACTTCTAATTAGAGGAATTCCCTGGATACAGGGGATTTATATTATTCCTTTTGTCCATTTATTGAATGACTGTCACAGTCACCCACAAGCGGTTGCAGAAGAATAATAGAGGGTATTTATTTATGCAGTAAGCCTCAGTACAGATGGAAAAAATCCATAGCTTAAATATTGATAATAGTTACTAGCTCCTTCTTAGGTTTTTCTGTTTTGATTTTTGTGACGAAGAAATGAGCTCCGAATTGACTTATTCTTAAAATTAGAATCTTTTATGATTTCTAATACAGTACTATTAAGATTTTCACTTTTTCCTGTTTATCATTGATAATCGGTGTCTGTGTGTGTGTGATTTCATACTGTTTCCCATTTTATAAATGATATGGACTTCTTTGTGTTTTGTGCCACTAATACTGCTGACTTTTCAAGTTTCTGGTAGAGAGAACACTACAACTCATCAAAGTAGGGTATAAGATACATTTGTGTGATAGCAATTCTAAATCAATAAAAGGTATGGAATTTTGGGGTGAGCTTATTAGCATTTGGCTTTCCTATTTGCGTGAGGTACTGTTTTTATGGTCTTGGCAGGTTTTTTACTATCGTTGCCAGTTCATCAATAGTTAAATACCTTGGATCAGATCACTCTTCTCTATAGCCCAGCCCATGGCAAAGGCTTTACAGCAGGTGTGGGCAAAATACAGCCTGCGGGCCAAATCCAGCCTGCCAGGCCTTTCTATCCAGCCCGCAGGGCCCCTCTAAAAAACAATTATTACTGGTCCGTTGCTGCCCCTCTGAAGTCTGGTGGAAGGCAGAGTTTCAGAGGCGGCATACTACCAGACCAGGCAGGCTTTGTATGTCCACCTCCATGGGGCTTTCCGGCACTCCAGCTGGGAGCCCCATGTGGAGGCACGAAGTGTGATGGCGCATGGTTGGCCAAGTGGTGAGGGGAGGGGAGCTCCTGTCTGCAGGAGGTGGGTAGGTGTGGGGTTTGTGGGGACCTATGGGGGTGTGAGACCCCCCCCGCCACACACCTCCTCATGGCTTACAGCCTCTGCCACCAGCAGCAGCAGGTGGCAGGCCCTCAGGGTACTCCTGGCCCATAGCAAGGCAGAGTCCCCCAGCAATGCATGGCTCCATCTGAATCCAAGGAGCTGCATGTGGTGGCACAGAGTCTGGCCAGCCTAGCCTGCTGGTACGCACCTTCAAACCAAACTGGGCTGACTCCCTGCCAGCACATGAGGCTCCTGGCACTGCAGGTGGGAGCCTCGCATCGTGGGGCCAGGCCAGGCAGGCTCCATGCTT